ACATATTTTCAGTCGGCTTCCCCTCAGCTTGATCTGGCAATGACTCATAAAGGCGAATGCTATAGCCATGTGGGGGATGGTCACTCTTCAACTCCTTCACGTCCGGCTGAGTCTCCACTACCAGATGTCTCTCCGACTGGCCGACAGATCTCATCAGGTCCAATTAAACTAACAAAGTCGCATATTTTCACTTCAGATAATACTAGCGTTTTTACGTCTCCAACTCAAGTAGAAAATGAATCGTCCCTCAAAGTCTCTGTTTTCAATGCCTTTCCCATCCAAGCCTCCGAGGTTGCCCCTCGATTTGAGCAGACGCAATTGGGTCCCCGGCTTGGCAGACCCACCAGCTCATGCTCTACCATCATACCTCCCTGTGGTTCAGCATCAGATACCTCTGAAGCCGCCCTCATATCAGTCAATATTAGTGATGTAAGCGTCGTTCCTTCGTCCAACGCCTTCGAGACGGACTCAGAAATTGTAACCAGTGCAGACTTTTCTAGAGTCAAGGGAGAACTAGTTTCATCTCAGGCTGAAGACCACCTTCATTCCTCTGCCGATTTGCAAGAACCACTTCAATTAACTGCATTTGGTCTCCACGAAATGCATATGGTGCCTTTCACGCCGGCTCCTGAACAAGAATCTATTATTCATCATCAGACTTCCGTCCCGATGACTAGTAAAAACACTTTAAACACAACAACTAGCAGCAGTGGCATATTTTTATCAACCTGTCCAGACAGGCTGTCTGAACTGTCTCTGGGCTCGGCGGCAAAAAGTCTCTTCTCCGATGCTAGTTCTCAATTACGAAGTCCCTTAACCATTTGGCCCTACAAGAACGAGCTTGACACCTTTTTGCCGATGGATCACGAAAAAGAGACACAGAATTTGTTATCTTCTTTACCATCCCAGAAACCTGTTGACTTATCGCGTCTATCAACCATTCTAGAAAGTGATCATCCCAAGAAACCGTTGTACAGTAAGGCCAAGGTTGGTGTCAATTCCATTACTGAATATAAACAAGGAAGCATTCAATGCTGCCCAGAAGGGACCTCATCAGACACAACTACAGAGCACACCTTCGACGTCTCGGTTGGCCGATTGATTCTCGCTTTTTGTGAGTCCTCTCTTATCGGCATTGGTGGAGATCGAGTCGGGACTGGAATAAGTCGTAGTCCCGAAGAGGCGAAGCAGATTGACCACCTTTCGACCCGGCTCAAAGAGCTGATTGGCCGGCCCGGAGTTAGTCTCGTCTCAATTTCCCATATCGAATTCGACCTATTGGATCGTCTCACTGATCAGGATACTTCTCATTTCGCCAGGGTTCTTTCCAAGTCCCTTCAGCCGAATCGGCCTACCAAAGCAGCAGTTGTGCCAGAAAATACGACGCCACCTCGTCTGGATGCCTCGGTTGTACTTATTTTGCATGAGGCCTTGGAGGCAGCTCACAAGACTGGTAAGGCTGTTCTGGAGGCCTCTGCGATCAGTCAGTTGGCTAGGCTTATCAAATTGCACTTACAAACTGACACGCTAGAAGACTTAAAGACTGATACCCTTCATCGTCTATTTAACGGTGCCGAGGCTGAGGGGAGCATATTGTTTGAAAAGCAAGCCTTGCTTCAGTTGGGTAACTATCTGAGACGCAGTGCTTTGACAAAACTAAGTGAATACGAGCTGGTAGAAAGTACTACTTGCAAGCATTTTCAGGCTGCACAAATGCCACAAAATAAGCTTTTGCCCGAAGAAGTGGGCTACTGGGTCAAGATTTTGAAGCATTGCTATTGGCCAGACTTCGAAGACTTCGAGGCTAGTCAGTACGGCACCTCAACGACTGGCAACTCCTCTGAATTAGAGAGCAAACTGCCAACTGGCGAAGAAAAGCAGAAAGTTCCGACTCAACTTAAGTCCTCCATTATTGTTTGCCATGGCGCTAAAAAACCAGAATTTTTGGCTTGTCTTAATCTTTGCTCCACACTATCGCGTTCGCCACATGAACTCATCTTTCAATCTAGGCAAGAAGTTGTCTCCTTCCAGCGTTGCCTGGCTCGTCTTTATGCTCACGTGGCCCGAAAAGACCACTTCGCCTACGAAGTCTACGCATTGGAAACAGAGTTTGCAACTTGGGCCAAGCACTCTTTACTCCCTGGCGCTCCCAGCGGCCTCAAGGATAGGCTGCGTAAGACGATTGATGATGTTTGTACGTCGCTGGTTGTCGAGGCTAAGCTAGCTGCGCCAGATCTGGCTCTGATAGAGACCGTCTTGCAGTCGCGCCAGATCAGAACGGATCAAGTAACTGAGGTTTCGGACGCCTTGAGCCTGGCCCTCGTTCTGGCCCTACTAAGACGTCCTGGAATTCTGAGGCCCGATTACGCCTCTCTCTTGGTTGTATTACGGCACGGGTTAACAGTCTCACCACCCAGCAGCCCAGTCACCCTTTCAGATGGCGAGTATACTTGCATAAAGGCTGTCTACGAGTGTGCCATCGCTTTCCCGAAAGAGGCCGACTTGGCCTCTGTAGACTCGGAGATGAGCCGACTTTTTGCGACAAATGGTTTGATGCGTATTATAAAGGCTGAAAATGGACTGACCACAGCCAGGCTTGTGGAAAATGTATCTCTTTCTGTATTGGCTATCTGTTATATGAGCAGAATTGAGCAATGCCTCGATGTTAAGAGTTCACAACTTTTACAGGAGTTTTCGGC